GTGTAGAAGCCTTGTCCCGTGCCGTGTAGAAGCCTTGTCCCGTGCCGTGTAGAAGCCTTGTCCCGTGCCGTGTAGAAGCCTTGTCCCGTGCCGTGTAGAAGCCTTGTCCCGTGCTGTGTAGAAGCCTTGTCCCGTTCCGTGTAGAAGCCTTGTCCCGTGCCGTGTAGAAGCCTTGTCCCGTCCCGGTGTAGAAGCCTTGTCCCGTGCCGTGTAGAAGCCTTGTCCCGTGCCGTGTAGAAGCCTTGTCCCGTGCCGGGTAGAAGCCTTGTCCCGTGCCGGGTAGAAGCCTTGTCCCGTGCCGTGTAGAAGCCTTGTCCCGTGCCGTGTAGAAGCCTTGTCCCGTCCCGGTGTAGAAGCCTTGTCCCGTGCCGTGTAGAAGCCTTGTCCCGTGCCGTGTAGAAGCCTTGTCCCGTGCCGTGTAGAAGCCTTGTCCCGTGCCGTGTAGAAGCCTTGTCCCGTGCCGTGTAGAAGCCTTGTCCCGTGCCGTTTAGAAGCCTTGTCCCGTCCCGGTGTAGAAACTTTGTCCCGGGCCGGTTTGAACTTTGTCTCTTTTTTTGAACCCCAGTTTGGTCGAAATCGGAGAGTCTAAGATGGCGTCATTGTACACATTGATAACACCATAACTAAGACTTGATATGTAATGTGACTAAGCTGAGACTAAAGACTGTCAAGTTCTAACTAGTATTCGGCAACGTGAGTTTATTTATGGAAAAATCCAGGATTAAACTTTGGCTTCTTTAATTTTAAGGCCTGCGACAAATGTGCAACCTTTGTCCCCCCCCCCCCTCATATCACTTAGTGTTGGTAATAAACGTTTTAAAAAGTGCCACCCCGGGGGGTGGTTGACCAAGAAAAATCCAGGGTTAAACCTTGGGTTCTTTAATTTTAAGGCCTGCGACAAATGTGCAACCTTTGTCCCCCCCCCCCCTCATATCACTTAGTGTTGGTAATAAACGTTTTAAAAAGTGCCACCCCGGGGGGTGGTTGACCAGTCGCCTTGCCCCCATTAGGCACGCCACCCGGGGTGGTTAACCAGTCGCCTTGCCCCCCTTAGGCACGCCACCCGAGGTGGTTGACCAGTGGCCCTGCCCCCCTTAGGCACGCCACCTGGGGCGGTTGACCAGTCGCCCTGTCCACCCCCTCAGGCACGCCACTAGTCACGGTTTGAACCGTTACGATTATGGTAGCACATATCTAAATTTAGTCATAGGTCATGATATGCTACAACTATTAGATATCAAGGGGCAGGAGGGCACAGGCAATATATTGAATGTCACGGGTCGGCAGATAAGGACGTTGGCAGACACGGTCGGTTAATATGTCCACCAACTGCACACGTCACCTAAAAACATGGCGTCGTCTTAAGAATTGTGTCCGAACTACGGCTTCTCTCCTGAAAGGCCGCACGATTGTTAATAAACAAAAAAATGTCCCGTGGAAATGTTCTCCTGGGTTCATACTCTCATTGTACACATCTTTACCCCCCCCCCCTTTAAAAAAAGAGTGTCCCTATTCGCCACATAATCTTGGAGCTGTGCTGAATTATTAAGCTCATTGGCTTTAGCAGACATGTTCGGCGTTTTCAAATCACGACCACATTCATAAATTATATCTATATGGAAATCAACAAAAGGAAGATTGTTGCCCTAACAACGTTCCAGCTGGCCAACAGCAGTGTATGAGGGAGTAAAAAAGGCAGAAAATACGCGAAACGAGGGCCCTTGCAACTTGCAACAAAAAGAACAATACGGAAGTCAGGATCTTACCAGGAGTCAATATTCTCCTGAAAGAAATGCAGTCGAAATTGTCATTCAAGGATTGGCCTAGTGAGCTACTCGTCAAAGTGTAGGACTACTTAGCTAATCCATCGTCTCACGAAGACGGAAGAATGTCATATATATATGTTTGTGTGTGTGCGTGTGTCCTAAGCAAAGTGACTCTTAATGTGATATACTGAAAAAGGGCATTTAAATTGACAAATTCTTGGAAATGAAACCATTTTAAAACTAAAATGTTCATTATTGTATAAAAGACATATTTGATTCCTTGACGGAACTATAACATGAACATTTTTTTTTTTTTTTAAACTTTAAAAACTCACGATCTTTCTTGGTGCATTGTTTCAGACGGTGGACACCGCAAAGAGAACTGTAGACATATAAACGTGTAACTTACCACATGAAGGAAAACATTAATGAAGAAATTATTGTTTCTTAAAATATATACATATCTTGAGTAAAACCTCGAATATTGTCGGGGCTACGTTCTGAGACTCCCCACGAAAGGCGAAAAACCCGAGAAGTTGGATTTATAGTTGGCCTATATTACAAAGATCAATAGACCCTTTCAACAACTCTTATATAAACCTATATGTATATTATTTTTCATTTTTTAATGCCAATTTTTTTTTTTAATTTACCGCAAAATTAAATTAAACTATATTGAAAAATACTGTTATACCGCAAAATTCCTGCAAAATAGCGAAAAAAAATCCACTTAAAGTTTCCTAGGAGAACACCCGCGAAGAATTTGGACGCGAAATGCGAAGTATTAGTTTATACCTAATTAAAAATTGTACGTGTCATATGTTGTTAAATCCCCTTTCCTCGCACCCTTGAAACTGAAGGGCCTTCTCGTACCCCTGGTGGTGTGAGAACCCCAGGTTGGGAAACCCTAACCCATAACGATTACCAGTGACGACGCGTGGCGCAATACTTAGATAGTATACGGGCATCGGTTCTATCTTTAGGAACTCGATCATTCTCAACACAGTTTATAAAAATAGAACTCACGGCGCGAGCGCGCATTCAGCAGTCGATTGCGCAACGGGGGCCATCAAGGGGCGAAATAAGGCGATCTGCTGCCGGCACACATCGTCACAACCCAGTTAGCAGCCCACCCATCTGCTGGTGACATCTTCAAGTTGTGTCCACTTTCTCGTAGCTCCAGGGTTAAGACAAGAGGGGCGCCAGGTGTCACCCTCGCAGCTGCTTTGTTTTTCATCCAATGCAAAAAGTCGTCAGGTAGGAAACATACAAATATCTCAGTGACATCATCTTTTTTTTTCCGTAAAAAATGTAAAGTTAGTCTTTTACAGATATTGTACCTCGGATATTTAAGGGTCCAAAAGTTTTCATGTGGAAAAAAAATACAATTTTAATTTAGAATGAAAGGGAAACAAAACTGAAAGTTGGCGGTGGGGGGGGGGAGGGGAGGGGGGAACCCTTTCAAAGTCACGTGACGGTTTTAAATGTCGTTAGTGCTTGCTTCGAGTGTTGGTTTGGCGAAGAGAACGTGGCTTTTACGCCACGCCAGAGTCATAACCACTAGGGTGGGGAGGGGGGGGGGCACCCCATTTGTTATTAACACATTATGTAATGTAACGTGCCCTTACTGTCACATTATGTATCCCCCCCCCCCCCCCCATTTCACCCCGTTGAGACGGTCATTTATGTAATTATCATATTTATCTTATCACGATTGATCCGTGACCAATCAAAATTGATCTCCTCGAAACGTCCTTTCGGCTAGAGCAGCGGTCCTCAACCTGTTCGTCGCGACCCTTATGGGGGTCGCATAACCGTTTCCCAGGGGTCGCCTAAGACCACCTGAAAACAAATTTACTAACAGCTACGATATAGCAACGAAAATGATTGTGTGGCTGGGGGCCGCCACGACATGAGAAACTGTCTTAATGGGTCGCGGCATCAGGAAGGTTGAGAACCACTGGGCTAGAGCTTCCTGGTCGTCTTTGTCGTCTTGTTCTTTTTGGACAGAGATTGCGACACACGCCCGAGTGTTTGTTGACTCTTTGCTGACATAAGCAAGGCGATCGATCTAATCACCCGATCGTCCATACAGGAAGCCCAGTTCAAAGAACTCCAGGCCATTTATAACAGTGACTTGGATAATTGGTGACTGGAATTTAACTTTACATATTATATGACAGGTGTTAAATACTACGCTATGACGTCATTGGTATTAAAATAAGTTGAATCCAAAATTTAATCTGAGCTGTTAAGTTGTTGTGTTTGTTGTTGTTGTTTTTTGTTGTTGTTGTTGTTGTTTTTTTGTGGGGGTGGGGTGGAAAGCAGACCATACAAATGTTTAGACAAGTCATGGACCACATCAATCGGCGGCTACCCCTTAGGGCCACATGACCACAAACATAAACATAAACATAACCACAAGCAAAACCACAAGCATTCAACTTTAAGTATTTGATAACAATAGTCGTGAGGATCACGCACACAATCCTCATCCTCTGTTCGTACAATCTTACTAGGATTGTATAACAATCAAACTCACCAAACACAAACATTCAGCTGTAATGTAGTCACGTGACCGCCATAACGGACCAATCGACATCCTCAGATCCTACAATGGTGATCACGACTTTGACATCGGGGACTCGGGGGCCTCCTTGCACCACCCTGTCCAGTGCACAGCAGTACGTAAGGGCGACTACGTCAACATAAGGAACAGGCCATGCAAGGTGGTGGACGTCCATTCGTCGAAAGTGGGAAAACATGGCCACTCAAAGGTACGGCTAGTTGTACGAGGTGGGAAAACATGGCCACTCAAAGGTAGGGTTAGTTACACACGGTGGGAAAACATGGTCACTCAAAGGTAGGGCTAGTTACACATGGTGGGAAAACATGGCTACTCTAAGGTAGGGCTAGTTACACATGGTGGGAAAACATGGCCACGCAAAGGTAGGGTTAGTCACACACGGTGGGAAAACATGGCCACTCAAAGGTAGGGTGAGTTACACACGGTGGGAAAACATGGCCACTCAAAGGTAGGGCTAGTTACACATGGTCGGGAAACATGGTTACTCTAAGGTAGGGCTAATTGTACACGGTGGGAAAACATCGTCATTCAAAGGTAGGGCTACTTTACACATGGTGGGAAAACATGGCCACTCAAAGGTAGGGCTAGTTACACATGGTGGGAAAACATGGCCACTCAAAGGTAGGACTAGTTACACATGGTGGGAAAACATGGTTACTCTAAGGTAGGGCTAATTGTACACGGTGGGAAAACATCGTCACTCCAAGGTAGGGCTAGTTACACATGGTGGGAAAACAAGGCCACTCAAAAGTTGAGTTAGTTACACACGATGGGAAAACATGACCATTTCAAGGTAGGGCTTGTTACATACGGTGGGAAAACATGGTTACTCATACAAGTAAAGTATAAATTAACCTTTAATTTAAAGGACAAAATACAAGTAAAAAAGTGTTTAGGCCGAAACTTGTTTGTGCTTTTCTTTCATACTATCAGCTCCATTGTGGTTCAAACATTGAGTTGGCTGCTTCCAGCCTCACTTGAGCATGTTTCAAATAAGTCTCATTAAATTAACTTGTGTGTTTATTAGCAGTCTATTTGTGTTCAATCTCATATTCGTATGTCCCTCATCTCATTTTCGTATGATCATTATCTCATATCCGCATGTCCATGAACAGGTGAACATAACCGGACTGGACATATTCACGGACAAGAGATGTCAGACCGTCCACCCATCGTCTCACAATGTGGACATCCCGGTGGTCACCAAAACGGACTACATAGTGCGTACATACCCCATGGATATACAAACTACCGTTTTAGAAGTTACCTTACCATTCATTGCAATTGTTACCCCCCCTTACCCCCCCCACCCCATTTTTCGTTCTTGCTCGCTCTCATTAGTAAATCAAATATGATATATGCCCTTTATGACTATATGTGATACAAAATGCTTATATATATATATATATATTGATAGATAGATAAATAGATGGATGAATGGATGGATAGATCGATAGATAGATGATCGATAGTTGGATGGATAGATAGATAATGTGTTTTCTATCACATGTATGATAATGCATGTCTTTAAGGCGCCCTATGGCTTGTGCTTGGGACGTCTACCCCTTCGCTCAGCCCTGTCTCTGGGTGTGGTCTGTCTCTAAAAAATTCATCTCTGTCTTTAGGAGGAAAGCTGAATCCGCTGATGACGTATCATATATTATGTCTCCCTCAGTTGGGGGCTCATGACGTATCATATATTATGTCTCCCTCAGTTGGTGGCTCATGACGTATCATATATTATGTCTCCCTCAGTTGGGGGCTCATGACGTATCATATATTATGTCTCCCTCAGTTGGGGGCTCATGACGTATCATATATTATGTCTCCCTCAGTTGGGGGCTCATGACGTATCATATATTATGTCTCCCTCAGTTGGGGGCTCATACTCATGACGTATCATCTATTATGTCTCCCTCAGTTGGGGGCTTATGACGTATCATATATTATGTCTCCCTCAGTTCGGGGCTCATGACGTATCATATATTATGTCTCCCTCAGTTGGGGGCTCATGACGTATCATATATTATGTCTCCCTCAGTTGGGGGCTGATGACGTATCATATATTATGTCTCTCTCAGTTGGTGGACATTGGTCCATTCTCCATATCCGTCCTGGACGACAAGGGCAGACTACGCAGTGACCTAAGAGCACCTGATGAGCCCATGATCCACACGATCCAAGAGCTGATGGCCACCCGAAGTGATCACACAATTGTGGTGAGGATCATAGGATTCCATTTGCAGGAGTGAATTTATCTGTTTTTTTTTCACTGTGAAAGCCTTTTACCAGACATAATCATCACACATAATCATCACACATAATCATCACACATAATCATCACACATAATCATCACACATATTCATCACACATATTCATCACACATATTAATCACACATAATCATCACCATAATCATCACACATAATCATCACACATAATCATCACACATATTCATCACACATATTAATCACACATAATCATCACCATAATCATCACACATAATCATCACACATATTCATCACACATAATCATCACACATAATCATCACACATAATCATCACACATAATCATCACACATAATCATCACACATAATCATCACACATATTCATCACACATATTCATCACACATAATCATCACCATAATCATCACACATAATCATCACACATATTCATCACACATAATCATCACACATATTCATCACACATAATCATCACACATATTAATCACACATATTCATCAGACATAATCATCAAACATATTCATCACACATAATCATCACACATAACCATCACACATAATCATCGCCCATAATCATCACACACATTCATCACACATATTCATCACACATAGTCATCACACATATTCATCACACATATTCATCACACATATTTATCACACATATTCATCACACATAATCATCAGACATGTTCATTAGACATATTCACCAAACATGTTCATCAGACCAGATTCAATAATGAACTTATAACATGCTAAACATTGAGATAGCCTGAATACTATTTTTTTAAAGTTGACCATTTGTGATAACATGATACTGGTATGTCTTCTGAATATTTGGGGATTCAGTTTAAACAGTAATGAGTCAATGAGCGTAGGTTTTATTATGTGTCTATGAGCGTAGGTTTTATTATGTGTCTATGAGCGTAGGTTTTATTATGTGTCTATGAGCGTAGGTTTTATTATGTGTCTATGAGCGTAGGTTTTATTATGTGTCTATGAGCGTAGGTTTTATTATGTGTCTGTGAGCGTAGGTTTTATTATGTGTCTATGAGCGTAGGTTTTATTATGTGTCTATGAGCGTAGGTTTTATTATGTGTCTATGAGCGTAGGTTTTATTATGTGTCTATGAGCGTAGGTTTTATTATGTGTCTATGAGCGTAGGTTTTATTATGTGTCTATGAGCGTAGGTTTTATTATGTGTCTATGAGCGTAGGTTTCATTATGTGTCTATGAGCGTAGGTTTTATTATGTGTCTATGAGCGTAGGTTTTATTATGTGTCTATGAGCGTAGGTTTTATTATGTGTCTATGAGCGTAGGTTTTATTATGTGTCTATGAGCGTAGGTTTTATTATGTGTCTATGAGCGTAGGTTTTATTATGTGTCTATGAGCGTAGGTTTTATTATGTGTCTATGAGCGTAGGTTTTATTATGTGTCTATGAGCGTAGGTTTTATTATGTGTCTATGAGCGTAGGTTTTATTATGTGTCTATGAGCTTAGGTTTTATTTCACTATGACTCAAGGACAGCGGTAACACATCGGAACGAAGATCCTGTTCTGAAATTTCTTTTATTAATATTTTTTTGGCCAACACTTTAATTTAAATTTATTTGTGGTGGCAGGGGAGATGAAGAAGGCTGACCACAGCGATCAGAAATGATCTCCCGATGAAACTGCTTGAGGTGAAATGGTGCCAAGACCCAGATACCCTCACCATCCGGGTTTAAGAAAAATATAACCGATCTTTTGTGATCACAAATATTTATATTAAACCCAAAAACAATCTTAGCCAACAGATAGGCGATATTATTTATTCCCAAAGGACAATCATGGCGGGTGGATAGACCCAGAGCACAACGGCAAGGCTACCTGTAAACACGGTCAACTGATCGACACATGGCCATTGTAAGGCTACCAGTAAACATGGTCAACTGATCGAGACATGGCCATTGTAAGGCTACCAGTAAACACGGTCAACTGATCGAGACATGGCCATTGTAAGGCTACCAGTAAACATGGTCAACTGATCGAGACATGGCCATTGTAAGGCTACCACTAAACATGGTCAACTGAACGAGACATGGCCATTGTAAGGCTACCACTAAACATGGTCAACTGATCGAGACATTGCCATTGTAAGGCTACCACTAAACACGGTCAACTGATCGAGACATTGCCATTGTAAGGCTACCACTAAACACGGTCAACTGAACGAGACATTGCCATCGTTGGTCACGAAGAACTCTAAATATATTTCGGTTTAATTAGCTGCTAGATCACTTTCTGAAAATAAGTATTTGTTGACATTATGTGGTCCGTCTAAGAGGGTACATCCATGTCATTTAGCATTGTGCTTTTCTGTTGTTTTGTTGTTTGGTCTTGACGACAATGACGTCAGTATCTACATTTGACTTCCACTAACAGTCTGCAGCGCCTTGCCCGCCCCTCTTACCCTTCAATAAATGTATCCAGACCCTCTTAGCTAAGAAACACTCATCTCAAAAAAAAATATCCCTCCCCATCTCCACAGATAACTGTCCTCAGTGCTATGGGCGAGGAACAGGTCATTGGAGTGAGATCTGCCAAAGATTAAACTTCATGCCACCAGCCATCAGCATCAACATAAACACCAATCACTGTTGTGTTTGGTGTGCACAGCTGAATGACATTCAAGCTTTACAACTTGACCAAACTATCATGACGCCAACAATTCATTTATAACAGAAGTAATGAATTATTGGATCTATATAAATTATTTTTAAATCTTTCCATATTTTTTTTCTTCAGTTAATTGCTAAAATGTGTTTTTAGGCGCTAAAGGGAGATAATGGGGCTGCAGCTTGATATAATTAAGGGGGATGTATAAAATTTCCCTTTCGTTAATTTGTATAAATAAAAATGTGTCCAAAAATAATCCTCAAATAAATTTATTCTGTAAACATATATTAAGTAAACAAATTCTACAATAAATCTGTGAATGTTGTTTGAAGTTTAACAAAAATAATTTTTGGAACATTTTTATTAAAAATGAGGACGTCAGAAATAAAGTAAAATTAAATCAAAACCAAGTTATTTAAAAACAAGAATCCAGTCATGCAATATTATAATAACTTAGCTAAAAAAAATACTTTTGAACACCGTAGTGCATTCTCTTAAATGATTGCCCCCCCCCTCCCGTAGTGCATTCTTAGATGACTCCCCCACCGTGTCAATTCTTAGCACATTTTTTTTAGCCTTTGTAACAACTCTCAGAAAAATTAAACTTATTTAAAGAAATTATGTTTGACTTTTTTTTTTTTTCCAAAAGTGTTCCTGACATAGACCAGAGTCATGCACATCAGATAAAATCCCAGGTATTTTGAAAGACAACATGGTTCATTGTCTGGCATAGTCGGTTAGCCATAAGAACATTATGTGGACAGCTCCACCCATAAGAACATTATGTGGACAGCTCCACCCATAAGAACATTATGTGGACAGCTCCACCCATAAGAACATTATGTGGACAGCTCCACCCATAAGAACATTATGTGGACAGCTCCACTTTCCAAAACAATCAATTCCAAACATTGTCACTAAATCCACAGCATTAAACATTCAGAAATCATTATTCTTTTATTGCTTTGGCTAGAGTCTTTAATGCACTGTATCCCACATCTTTGGTGCACTGTATCCCACATCTTTAGTGCACTGTATCCCACATCTTTAGTGCACTGTATCCCACATCTTTAGTGCACTGTATCACACATCTTTAGTGCACTGTATCCCACATCTTTAATGCACTGCATCCAACAGGGTTTGAAAATTTCATCGTTTAAATATCATTTATTTCAATGTTGAATATGGTTGACTTTCTTGATTAAAATAAAAAAATTATAATGAAGTCGTATCGTAATGGTCAATAAATTATAATTTGAGCTCTCAAAAACATGATTATGTAAATATATTTATCATTTTAACTATTTTTAATCAAGGGACATTTAGAGATGATTTTTTTTAAAAACCCAATTGTCCATATTCAAGGCTTAATAAAACAACCAGTTGTCCACATTCAATGCCTAAAGAGATCACCCAGTTTAATTAATAAAGTCAATCGAGTGCACTATTTAAACCCATAGTGTCGGACCAACCGGGTGCCTACTGGTTGGGGCGGCCCCCAGGCGGTGTCCTGGTCGAGCGCCCAGGCTCCAAGGTGGAGGATCTGGGTGAGGGGCCTAAGTGGGGGCCGTCCTGACGAGGGGGCATCTCCAACGTGCCGCTCCGCGGCCCGATACGTTGGGCCGGGGAGGGGTAATTGGGGGGGGGGCATAAAGAGTGCAAACACGCCCCGCTGATGCCATTTCTTGATGTAATAATTTAATTAAGTGTACATACAATGAAAAAAGATTTTTGACATAAAAAATAGATTCAGATCCTACATCAGTACTACTACCAATCAGATCCTACATCAGTACTACTACCAATCAGATCTTACATCAGTACTACTATCAATCAGATCCTACATGAGTACTACTACCAATCAGATCCTACATCAGTACTATTACCAATCAGATCCTACATCAGTGCTATTACCAATCAGATCCTACATCAGTACTACTACCAATCAGATCCTACATCAGTACTATTACCAATCAGATCCTACATCAATGCTATTACCAATCAGATCCTATATCAGTGCTATTACAAATCAGATCCTACATCAGTACTATTACCAATCAGATCCTACATGAGTACTACTATCAATCAGATCCTACATCAGTGCTATTACCAATCAGATCCTACATCAGTGCTATTACCAATCAGATCCTACAGCAGTGCTATTACCAATCCGATCCTACATCAGTGCTATTACCAATCAGATCCTACATCAGTACTATTACCAATCAGATCCTACATCAGTGCTATTACCAATCAGATCCTACATCAGTACTATTACCAATCAGATCCTACATCAGTGCTATTACCAATCAGATCCTACATCAGTACTATTACCAATCAGATCCTACATCAGTGATATTACCAATCAGATCCTACATCAGTGCTATTACCAATCAGATCCTACATCAGTGCTATTACCAATCAGATCCTACATCAGTACTATTACCAATCAGATCCTACATCAGTACTATTACCAATCAGATCCTACATCAGTGCTATTACCAATCAGATCCTACATCAGTACTATTACCAATCAGATCCTACATCAGTGCTATTACCAATCAGATCCTACATCAGTACTATTACCAATCAGATCCTACATCAGTGCTATTACCAATCAGATCCTACATCAGTACTATTACCAATCAGATCCTACATCAGTGCTATTACCAATCAGATCCTACATCAGTACTATTACCAATCAGATCCTACATCAGTGCTATTACCAATCAGATCCTACATCAGTACTATTACCAATCAGATCCTACATCAGTGCTATTACCAATCAGATCCTACATCAGTACTATTACCAATCAGATCCTACATCAGTGCTATTACCAATCAGATCCTACATCAGTACTATTACCAATCAGATCCTACATCAGTGCTATTACCAATCAGATCCTACATCAGTACTATTACCAATCAGATCCTACATCAGTGCTATTACCAATCAGATCCTACATCAGTACTATTACCAATCAGATCCTACATCAGTGCTATTACCAATCAGATCCTACATCAGTACTATTACCAATCAGATCCTACATCAGTGCTATTACCAATCAGATCCTACATCAGTACTATTACCAATCAGATCCTACATCAGTGCTATTACCAATCAGATCCTACATCAGTACTATTACCAATCAGATCCTACATCAGTGCTATTACCAATCAGATCCTACATCAGTACTATTACCAATCAGATCCTACATCAGTGCTATTACCAATCAGATCCTACATCAGTACTATTACCAATCAGATCCTACATCAGTGCTATTACCAATCAGATCCTACATCAGTGCTATTACCAATCAGATCCTACATCAGTGCTATTACCAATCAGATCCTACATCAGTGCTATTACAAATCAGATCCTACATCAGTGCTATTACCAATCAGATCCTACATCAGTGCTATTACCAATCAGATCCTACATCACTACTATTACCAATCAGATCCTACATCAGTGCTATTACCAATCAGATCCTAGATCAGTACTATTACCAATCAGATCCAACATCAGTACTATAACCCATTTGTAGCTTCTAATAATACAAAGCTCCATATGGAAGAAGCGGGGAAGAACTCACACATCTTCAACCAGCGGCAGCTCAAGATAAAAGTTGGAAAAGTGGCCGTTTAATTCCAAGTAATAAATTAAATCCAAATAATGCACACATACATATTTAAAAGTTTTCGGAAGGAGCCATTTGCTCACAAGCTCATTCTTGCCTGCTCTACCTGACTATCATTTTGTCTAAAAAATTATGTTATGTGCTTTATGTCTTTCAATCTTCATTCTGGTCTATGTTTATTATACGGACACTTACAAAATACATATTGCTTCAACAAAATATCACAGTTGCTTTAAAATTAGAACTTAATAAGTAAGCTGTGTCTTGAATAATGTGTTCTTCTTATAGTTCATCCAAAGATTTCTTCCAGATAGGGAACATGTTATTTACCATGGACCAATAGTTCGCCTGTGGAAGGAAAAATATAACCATGAATGAGAAACACACTGCTGGAAAAAAACTATAAATATTTTATAAAAAATCAAAAAATTTAATTTAGCATAATAGTATAGTGTGCCATTAACTGAAAATATGAACTTATAAAATGGTATGTGATTAACTGAAAATAATACTTATGAAATAGCTTGTCATTAACTGAAAATAGAACTTATAAAATATTATGTCATTAAATTTAACAAATAATAACTTATAAAATAGGTTGTCATTAACTAAAAATAAAACTTATATAATAGAATGTTATTAACTGAAAAAAATGAATTTATAAAACAGCTTGTCATTTATTGAAAAAAACTTATAAAGTAGTATGTTTTTAAGTGAAAATAGGAAGTCATTAAACGTATGTCGTTAACTGAAAATATGAAGTTATAAAATAGGCCCTACCAGCTTGGGCACAGTTATATTTATTAGAAGACCAACATAATTAAGAGTAGCTAAACTTTAAATCAATTTCAACTTAAATTGTTCAAGTTTTTTGTGAACCATTTCACAGTAATTTATGTGTTATATTGTAAAATGAATCATATTTTTTTAAAATCTTTAGTCTAACATTTAAGTTTAAAAAGAAGAAATTCTTCTCTTCAGAGGACAAATTTTACCCCTTGCTTGCAGGGAAACTTATAAGGATTTTAATCCTGGCAATGGTAAAGATAGTAAGTGAATACAAACTCATGTCATGCAATGATATTTGTGGAAATAAGTGAAACAAAGTGTGGGAAAACCTGAAAAAAAAATAATGCAACAAAGCAACAAATGTATTGGAAAGAAGACTTCATCAGCAAACAAACAACAGTAAAAACATAATTCCTTTTTTTTAAAAACAGCACTTAGCTGAACTGTAGTATCACAGAGGACAGCAAGAAGAAAATCTCCCCTTTATTAACCTATTTGTGAGCTCATTCCCTTACCTGAAGGTTGGCAAATCTTGGACTTAAAGGTTCTGTCAGGCTTTGGTTTAACTGCTTTTCAAGTGAATTTATATCCTAAGAGAAAAGAGGTTATCCTAAAATTTATTTTGACACAAAAGTAAATTTAAAAACCAGGGAGACAACTTGAGTTTAGCTTATTTCAATGCAGCCATTGTTTCCCCCTGAAAGCTTATCAACCTTGGCTTTTTTAATGTAATGGTTGGCGCCAAAAGAGTTTATCTTATTTCTAAGTTTTTCAAAACCAGTAAGTCTGATTAATTCATAGAGAGATAGACTTGTAAAGCTAAGCTCCACAAAATAGCGCAAGGGATATTCTTATGAACCCATTTGTTGATGAGGCAAAGATGTCAAACCTTACAGTATCCCCGTGCATTAATGAGGGAATTTTCTTATTTGTATGTATTTGTTTGGGTTGTGAGAACCTACTTGATATCTCCTCGTACATGTTACTCTGTTTTTTTATACTTAGTCATTTGATTGTGAGAAAACTGGGATGACATGTAGTAGTACTTTAGCTATTTACTAACTAACAGCCAAATGAAAACAGTTGGCATAAATATTGCCCCACCATGCTTGATCTTCATTTAAGCTACTGCTTTGAACATGGTGGAACTGTTCAAGGAATCAGTATACTTATGTTAATCTTCAATCAGACTAATTTCCCACCAACTATGAAATACAGCCAACCCAAAATTTATGGAAGGAATCTAAAGGAATATTTAAATTTCAAACCTTAATAATTTTGTCGTTTCTTATGGCAGCATCTGTATTGCTAATGGGAAGCTCATTCTGTGATCCCTTATGCAAAAAGTTTTTCGATGACCTAAGCAATGCCTCTCTCTTGTTAATTCTGAAGGAAAAAGAAAATTTAACGAATATTGGAAATTTTAGCTAGAGATTATAGGGGCCATTTCTAAAAACAACATCACACAGCTAGGGGGAGGGGGGTGTCACTAATTTGTGACATTTGTGAAAGATTGTCAGATTTGGGTTAAAAATTTGCGACAATTTTTATTTAGGGGGGGGGGGGGGAATCAGCCAATTAGTGTGAGATCATTTATGGGTTGCCCCGTAAAATAAAAGGNTATTCTGACTGTCAAAGTCTCCAAAGTGTCAATTCTTAATATGGTTTTGATGTTTAACCATCTATAAATGCATAAGCTTTTACTATCATCCAAATATTCTGCTGATAATCATACCATATAACTATTTGTAGGCCTAAACTTTAGGTCTACATACGGTTACATGGCAACTTTAGGCTAAAGTAAAATGTTATTATTATAGATTTTTTCAAATTTTATAAATATTATTTTATTTGGGCATTATTCATTTTTCTTTATTAAGGTTTATTTTATAAAAGATTATGAAGAGCTAGTCTACAACTAATTCTAATTCTAATTAAATTTGAATTCGTCCCTCCCAACTTCCTCTTTGTTGTTTTTTTTTTTTTTTCAGCATTCTGAAACAAATATGATGGTTAATCCATTTAAACGATGTTAAAAGAAGTGAAATAAAATCGAAGAACTTTGTGTGTTTCGAAAAACTGTAAATAAGAATACTCACATCTCTTCGTGCAACAAGTTCAGTTGAGCTTCTTTTGATGTCCACATTTCCAGCTTGGTGTTGTAAGACGAATCTTTTTCGCGTTGCCATTCGTTCATCTTTTTTGAATGTAGGATAATTATTTTATTCTTTTAAATTAAATAGGTAAGAATGATTTAAAATAATGCTTCCTGAAGTGTATGTTCAAATTTAATGCAGAGCCTTTCAATTAAAACTCAAGGCTCAAGGACTATTCCATGATTGAGAAAATATAACTGTTGCTATCAGACGCATATAATGGATTAGCTCTTCTTAAAAAAGATATTAAAGATTGAAGTAAATGAAATGTAAAATATAGAACAGATTCATTCGGAGAACGAAATAAACTATCGGCAAAATAAAATGAAATGAATTACATTTTAAAATGTAAAAAAAAATAAACTAAAAAAAAATATATTACTCAAATGATTACTTAAAATAACCTTAAATAGTATTATAAAATTCGACTATTTAACAAAATTCAAAACACGTTTTAAAATGGAACTAGATCAGGGTTTCCCCATCTCGAATGATCGCACCCCAGGGTCTGGGGTGGAGTGGGTGCGGGAATGCATATGAGGCCTCAAGGGATTCTTGGACATGTGGCACGGAATTTAAGAACAGAGTAGATATTCGCTGTTAAAATATGAGTAAAATATTATATGTTAAACATTTCTTCATTAACATTTACATTATCATTATGAATTAAGCAAGTAGCTAAGTTCCATCATAGTTCCCTTTGTAATTCAATGAATAAAAATAGAAGTGAATTATGTTAAACAATATTTGTTACGTTTGTAAGGGGTGCGAGGAGGGCAGCACTAGGGGGTGGCGAAGGGGGCGACCGCCCAAAGCCACGTGTGGGGCCCGGCGCGTAGCCCTTATAACATTCTATCTCACACTACCTCTGATTAATCTAGCCAGGCCGAGTCTACTCGTGTTTCGTCACTCCCAGTCCAAAAAAATCGTAGGTCCAGGTACAAGATAAACAAAGGATCTAATTTTCACGGGGGGGGNGTTTGTGTACCCCTTTGTTTATAGTATCACTACTCTCATATTCTGGTCCACCTTCAGTGCTCCAACTCTCACTGCTCTCACTCCTAAAAAGACTCTCAGGGATTCTAACCCCTTGACACTTTGCCCATATTTTTCTCTTAACATGCAGTGTTTCTTTCAGAGATTTCCTCCCAGCGTGGGGGCGGCATTTAAAATTTTCGGGGAGGGGGGCTGTGCCATTTATCAGTGGCCAGAAGCGTAGCTAAGGGGTGGCAGATGGGGGCATATGTCCCTGTGTGTCACAGTAGGGAGGGGGCAAAATGGACATGATGGTATTTAATGGTTGAAAATAATCAATTTCAGAGTTTGGGGGGGGGGGGAGGGTTTAAAAATGAATCTTGTCCCTTGAACGCCAAACACTGAAGATACGCACCTGCTAGTGGCATCGAAATAAGGTGGATGGGGTGGTCCACCGAGGTGTCACTTTTTTTTTATATGCAGGTGCGGCATTTTCGGACAACTGCAGAGTTTGTATCGGGAAAGGGAGGACGGCAAAAATATTTGCCCGCCCATGGCGGCACTAATAGTAGCTGGGTCACTATGCAGTGTATCTAATGATACCGAAATTGGGAAGCATTTTCATGTGGAAGAAAGGCGGAAATTGAGGGCGCCGATGAATCTTGATCGGTTGGGGTGGGGGGTGGGGTTTGGGAGCAGGCTCCCCAGAAAATTTTTGATGATATCAAAGTCAAGAGTATAATTGAATTCAATGTTTTTATTTTACTTTTTTTTTAAAAGTATTTCTAAGTTTTTGGCACAAGCTTATAATGAACCCCATACTGTACCATTGATCAGCGGGAATGAACGGGTGCAGAAATTTAGGGTGCTAAAGACTGTCAGGCAAAATCAAAATCCAGAGGTGTATTTTGGTGCATACTTAAATTTGTTATGTCTTTCTGTTTGCCAAAAAATTTAACATTCCTTTTTTATTGTTACACTCATATTGCTTTGGGGGGGTATTTGACTTTCCCCTGAAGGGCAGTCCCCCACCCCTAAGAGATGCCTGAAAGAAACCCTGCATCTGGCCATTACACATGTAGCCAGTACATAACCATTGAATGTGTATTGCATTGCATTTACATTAAAATCAAGCAACTGTGAGATCTAGGATCATTGAAGACAAGCAACAGTGAGATCTAGGGATCACTGAAGACAAACAACTGTGAGATATAGGGATCACTGAAGACAAACAACTGTGAGATCTAGGGATCATTGATGACAAGCAACTGTGAGATCTTGGGATCACTGAAGACAAACAACTGTGAGATCTATAGGGATCATTGAGGACAAGCAACAGTGAGATCCAGGGATCACTGAAGACAAACAACTGTGAAATCTAGGGATCACTGAAGACAAAAAACTGTTAGATTTAGGGATCATTGGAGACAAGCAACTGTGAGATCTTTGGATCACTGAAGACAAGCCACTGAGAGATCTAGGGATCACTGAAGACAAACAACTGTGATATCTAGGGATCATTGGCGACAAGCAACTGTGAGATCTTTGGATCATTGAAGACAAGCAACTGTGAGATCTAGGGATCATTGATGACAGGCAACTGAAACTAAGCGCTGACATGTTTGGCTTTTTATGGTGTTCAGGAGTTGACGCGATGAAGAAAGTTCAGACTTTCCAGCAGCTCTCAAGGTCCTGAGAGCAATGATTAAAGAAAAATTCACACACCATCACAAGGTCTTCAGTTCCTTGTACCGCTCACACCATCACAAGGTCTTCAGTTCCTTGTACCGCTCACACCATCACAAGGTCTTCAGTTCCTTGTACCGCTCACACCATCACAAGGTCTTCAGTTCCTTGTACCGCTCACACCATCACACGGTCTTCAGTTCCTTGTACCGCTCACACCATCACACGGTCTTCAGTTCCTTGTACCGCTCACACCATCACACGGTCTTCAGTTCCTTGTACCGCTCACACCATCACACGGTCTTCAGTTCCTTGTACCGCTCACACCATCACACGGTCTTCAGTTCCTTGTACCGCTCACACCATCACACGGTCTTCAGTTCCTTGTACCGCTCACACCATCACACGGTCTTCAGTTCCTTGTACCGCTCACACCATCACACGGTCTTCAGTTCCTTGTACCGCTCACACCATCACACGGTCTTCAGTTCCTTGTACCGCTCACACCATCACACGGTCTTCAGTTCCTTGTACCGCTCACACCATCACACGGTCTTCAGTTCCTTGTACCGGTCACACCATCACACGGTCTTCAGTTCCTTGTACCGCTCACACCATCACACGGTCTTCAGTTCCTTGTACCTCTCACACCAACACAAGGTCTTCAGTTCCTTGTACCGCTCACACCATCACGTGGTCTTCAGTTCCTTCTGCCGCTGACAAATTCGTTTGCCGAATGCTGCCATCGCGTACAAAATAATGTTGGTAACCATGGCAACGCGTAGAAAGAAGTTTTTCAATATTAAATATGAATAAAACTTATTTGAGATTATCGATGTCTCGGGTTAGATTGAGTGGAATGTAAAAATGTGAATTGAACCATTTAGCCACCGCAGGAACGCCAAGGGGTTGACATACTTTACATTGACCTTACAAAGTAAGGCGGTGGGCATCATGATAGATAAAGGGGTTTACCTCAATCTCTCTCGAAGAATTATTACGCCATTGCACTATTGAGGTTGTGGGTCCAAGTTGAGAGGTGCTGAATCACAACACAAGTTTTGATTCACTTCTAAGTGTTCCAGAGCTACGCTTAGGTAACGAGTCCAATTTTATTTTAACTTTATGGGCATTCCACTCTTTTTGATAAAAATTAGAGCACTGAGAGCATTGAGAGCAATGAGAGCATTGAGAGCAATGAGAGCAATGAGAGCAATGAAAGCATTGAGAGAAATGAGAGCATTGAGAGCATTGAGAGCAATGAGAGCATTGAGAGCAATGAGAGCATTGAGAGCAATGAGAGCATTGAGAGCAATGAGAGCATTGAGAGCAATGAGAGCCTATGCTCATTCAACTTTCTATGTGTTTTCGGTATTAGGTTTGGTCCGCGCAACAGTTTGTCACAATGAAAATGCTGAGTTCACACGATCAAATTTTCAACAAATTTTCGTAAATTTTTTTTTTTTTGAAAGCACTATTTTGTTTCACATGGGCTGTAGCGCCACATGGATTTATGGATTTTAATTTTTTTTTTTTTTTTACCAAATAGTGCGTTCAAAAAGAAATGTGACGAAATTTGGATCGTGCGAACTGAGTATTAGATTTGCAGAAACCGAGGCCCAGTGAATTAGTCGGTTCGCATGACGATTAAACCATTACATTCAGTGGCGTAGGAAGTGGTGTGTGTGTGGGTTGGGGGTGTAGATCCAACCCGGGACGGCAACTTATTCTTTATATAAGCAATGGCATTTTCGACTAACTGTCTAGTTTTTTGTTTGGTTTTTTTTTTTCGAGAAAGAGGGTGGCAAACATCTTGGTGCTCCCCGGGCTACGCCACTGGTTACAGAAAAAACAGAATCGGAAACAAAGTGAGTGAGCAAATACCTGGTATAACGTGTCCCAATATGACCAGTAAGAACCAGTATTATTGTGACGTCACCTAATATCCTACTGGCCTAGATATGTAAAGTAAACTGTCACGCATAGTTCTATTGGCCCTAGCCTCCCCCACCCTCTTTAATTAAAAAAAAAGGAGCCTACCACTGTCTCAAACAGTATTAATAAACAGGGATATGCACGGGTTGATTCCTGGGGAATAAGTAGTGGAACACACCCAAGATTATTGGGGAAAAAGTAGTGGAACACACCCAAGATTCCTGGGGGAAAAGTAGTGGAATACACCCAAGATTCCAAGGGGAAAACACCCAAGATCGCCCACTCCAAAATAAATAAAAAGAAAATACAGGAACATTGTTTCCATGCGGTTCTTCGGGACTCGACCCATGGTGTTATGAGATTATGATTCAAACCATCTGAGTGTCATACTTTGACATGACTTCCTGCCCCTCTCCCCCTCAGACGTGTCTGGGATGGCGTTTCGGCACTCTGTCACGATGCTCCAGTTTATGACCCCACCCACGTGGACTCTTCCTTAAAAAAAAAAAATAGACCAGTGGTTCCCCAAGATTGGGTAAGTGTGTCGCGGCAAGACCAGTGGTTCCCCAAGATTGGGTAAGTGTGTCGTGGCTGGACCAGCGGTTCCCCAAGATTGGGTAAGTGTGTCGCGGC